AGGAGCAAATTAATGCAGAAGCTGGAATCTGTGCTGAAAACAAAAAAATGCTGGAAATCACAGCAGGTCAGGCAGCATCTATGGAGAGAGAACAAGGTCATGTTTTGAATCTAGATGGCGCTTCACCAGAGGTCTTTACAAATGCTGGCCTACACTCACATTTTCAGTTTGGGCATGCAGGCTAGATTGGGATTTGGGCTAGGTGACCTGCTAAGAACTGAGGAGGCTGTAGGTTTTCTAGGCTGGATGGGTGGAAAGCTTACTTTTGGGCTCGAACACATTGTTCAAAAATCAAAATGAAAGAATAAAATATAAAATGTTCCTCTAGCCCTCAGGTCTCATACCCCTATATCCAATACCTCTCTCCACTTAATGCCCTCAACCCATCCTTATGGCCCTTCATATCCCCTATGCAAACCAGTGCCCCTCTATCCATACCCCATTGTTCCTCTTATCTCCATGTCAACTTAGTGCCAACTTGTAACTAGCATATTTCCCCTTTTTACCTACTACACCAACTCAATTAGTGTTCACTAGTGCACAGAAGAATAAAAAAGTTCACTGATGAGAAAAATGTTCTTGTATGAAATAACTTGACAGGTCTTGACTGTTTTGATTCTGATTGAAATGCCTTGACATATTTTGACACATCTAGACACTCTTTAACAAATTGACACTTGACAGCTTTTAAGAGCTCTTGACATTTCTTGATAAGTTGTTACTTCTTGACAGGTATTGATACTTCTTGACAAGTTGGACAGTTCCAAGAGGTTTATTCATCTTTGGCACACAATCATCTCCACAGTTAACAATCTTAAAAGGCACCTGTCACTCCCCCTTATGGATACCTGGCCCTCATCCCCAAAGGCTAACTAACACCCCTACCCACCAAAAAAAATACCCTGACCTCCATCTTCAAGAAGTCCTGAGACCAACTCGACAAGCATTCTTCAGCTATCCAAAGTCATGCCCTGGTTACCTGAAAGAAATGCACTAAGAACAGAACTGCTCTTGCCTGCTTTCATCTCCATTTTATGAGTTCCGCATACCAAGCACTCCAAAATCCATTGTGAATGGACTCTGCAAATCGCATGTTTGTGAACCATAGAGTGCCCTTACAAAAATGAGAAATGCTAGGTTCAGGAACAGGGTTTAAGATTTTGGGCATCTTCTGGTATTTTCACTGGGAGGGTCTCTGATTGGCAAAAAATCTGACCTTTAATATCTTCAGCCTATATCAGGAGTAGCTGTAAACACAAAATCTCATTGCTGCAAGTTGTAAATTATTCCTAACATTTCTTAGCAGTTAAAATTTTAGTTTTTATAATTTGTTTGGGCATGCTGGCATCATTGGCAAGGCCTACACTTTTTGCCCATCCCCAGTACATTTCCTTCTGTCTCTTTTATTTCTACTAATACTTATTCACTCTTTATTTTTCTTTCTAAATATAATTTGACTCTCAATCACCATATTTCTTCCTCCATTGTGCTATTTCTTGCTCTATTCTTAAGCATTATTGGTTAAGGAGATATACTTATGGTTTCCTTGTTCTCCAAAGTCTAAAGTACCCTGTTAAGTTATAACTTCATTATCAGCTCATGTTTCTAACAATTAACAGTGTAAATATTTTCCAAGTTAAAGTATGAAACAAATGTGGCATGCTTGAGATCTGTAACAAACTTTAGGTGGAATCTTGCCAGCCGCTGAATTTGCGAAAATAGTGTGAGATTCTCGACATCAAAAGTAAAATGTCCAGTTCTTCAGCAAAACATTGAATGTTGAAATGGGAACCTCCGTAGTGAATGGCAAGAGTCCTATTAGCACTAATTTACGTGTATTAACATTGCATTATTCATTAGCCTTGCTCCATTGTACACTTGCCCATTCATCCACACCGGGTAGAAACGAGATGGCAACAATTTGTGTAAACATCAGACTAGGAACAGATCTTCAATGGCCAGGGCCACCATTCTCTTCTCATACGGTGTACAGAGTTGAATGTCGGGCGCCCGCCACCTGGCTTGGCTCTCTGCCTATTTGTTTCCTCTTAGAATGAGAGAAAGGAAGAGGCTGAGTCAGAAGAAAGTGACAGCTTTATAACATTTCACTATAACACAGCTGCTAATGTTGGTGCAGAGTGTGGAAAGGCGGTGAGGTGAACTCAGTAAGTGAGTAGGCAGAACAGCAGCAGCCTTCCAACGTGAGTACAATGGGGAGGGGTGTTTGGGGTGGATGACAGTGTCTGACGGAAGATGTTGCACACAGTAGTGAGAGTAGTACACCATGAGCCTTTGTTACAGGTGGGTACAATAGCAGAGATAGAGTGAGTATGAAATAGCATAGAAAAGATAGTGACACTCACCTGCATGGAGTAGAGAAGGTTATTGACTTTCTTCCTGAATTGCTGAGCATTCCTCCAGACCATAGAAACAACAGCGATGCATGTGGCAACCTCAGATCACGCTGGCAAATACTGGTGACAAGGTCTGCTTTGTCAGTCCTGAGGGAACAGGACCATCCTCCTCTGTACCATCTTGTCCACCAGGACCTCCAGGTCCCTATTGGCAAAGTGGGATTTCCCTCTGTCCACCATGTCTGGGAGAATTCACGTAACGTGTAGGGCAGCTCTGGACTAACTGTACTTCACCTGGTGTACAACTGCATTTTAAATATGGCACGGGCAATCCCTGGCAGTGGCAACACTCCTGTCAATGGTGAGAGGGAAGATATGATGATGGCACTATAATTCACATGGTACCATAGGTGATGAGGAAAGTTTCAGAAAGTGTCGTGAGAAAGTTTGCTAGTCTCCATGGAAAGAAACCCTCCATAAGGATCCATAAAATTGACACTTCACTTATTTCTGGTAAAATTCAACTCTATATATTAGTAAGTCATAAAATACACAATAGAATATAATTTTTCAGAGATTGTACTCAAAGCAAGCAATATTTAGTTGAACAGAAAAATAATGATTTCCAGACCACTTGGGATTTTAGTTCCCATTTTGAAAACTGATGCTTTAGATTTGAGTTAAGAATAACCAAAAATGAAAGGGAAAATGCTGATGCCTGTCAATCATAAGTCAACATATTCAGATTAAACTGTGAAAATTGAGCAAAGTATAAGGAAGAAAAGGTTACTGCCAAAGTTTTAAAACAGAAAATTCTGGAAATACATTGCAGATTTGGCAGTATCTTTGAAGAGACAGATTAATGGGCCAGATTTTCATTTTTTAAGTGTTAGAAGCAGAGACACAGAGTTTAAGAGCAGAAAGGCAGTGCTAGAACTGTTTAAAACATTTGTTAGGCTGGAGGTAGAATATTATGTGCAGATCTGGAATCCACATTACAGGACAGATGTGATAGCACTGGAGAAGGGGCAGAGGAGATTTACCAGAATGTTGCCTGCACTAGAGAGTTTTAATTTTGATGAGAGATTGGATGGACTGGGGTTATTTTCCAAGGAATAGAGGAGACTGAGGGAGGTTGGGGGAGGGGGAGGAGGGCGGCATGATTTAGATTCATAAAATTGAGGGGCAAGGACGGGTTAGACAGGAATAAACTTCTCCTCTTGGTGGAGAGATCAATGATTTTGAGGTAAGGGATGGAAGGTAGATCAATGATTTTAAGGTAAGGGATGGAAGGTTTAGCGGAGATGTGAGGAAAACCTTTTCACTCAGAGGGTGGTGGAAGTCTGGAACTCATTGCCTGTAAGGTAGAGGCAGAAACCCTCCCAACAACATCTAAAAGTTACTTAGACGTACACTTGATGCCAAGGCATGCAAGGTTATGAGCCAAGTGCTGGAAAATGGGATTAGAAAAGTTAGGATGGTTGTTTCTGATCGATGCAGACTTCTTGAGTCAAAGGGTCTTTTACTGTGCTGTAAACTTCTATGACTGAGTAGCTGAGCTTTAAACTTATTTAATTTAGATTTACCATTCATCTGCAATGTGAATTTTTGAGTAACTTTATAATTTATACTTCTTAGATATCCTAAGTATGGAATTCTTATTTTCCTTTCATGAACATTTGAAGTTAGTTGACTACAATATTTTTGTACTTTTTGAAAATGCCTATTGTAGTTAGCTTAAAGTATTAAAGATCACTTAAAATATCAAAAATCAACTTTAGCCCTGAAGAATACACAACAATCAAAAACACAATTTTGATACCTCGTTTGCTTGGAAGAAAAACATTAGTAGAAACTTTACATACCTATTTTCTACTGATACATTTTGTAGATTCCCTGCAAATAATTCTGGTTTGTTTTTCTTTTGTATTTTCTAGTATCATAACTTTTATTGCATTTATACATTTCTGTATGAATTTGTCTTACATCTATCATTGGTTGTTCATACCCTCATTAGTCCTCATCTGTTTTCTGTGTCTTGTTTCCACATTTGTACCTATCTCTAACAGGCTCAACTCTTTCTGCTTCTCTTACTCCTTTCTTTTTGACTCATTGAAAGCTGGTGGGAAGACCTCAAGACATGTTGAAACCTCTCCTCAAACAGCTTCAGGTGATTCACTGTTTGCTCCCATCACTTAAGCAGTACAAGTGTCTTCCAGTGTATTCTTTCTCATAATGAACAATATTGACTATCATTGGGAGTCTATTTGAGTACCACTCAAGGCTCACAGGAAGTAAGTTGCAAAAAGGCTAGACAATAATTGTAAAAAGCTATTTTAGACTTTCAGTGTTTGTGGATAGAGTTTGTTTATACAAACTGCCCACTGCAAAACATTAAAACCATGTTGTGATTGTCTGATAATTATATTATTTCTTGATGCATTTAATGCATTTCATGTGATGTATCATAAAAAAATACTATAGTGATTAATTGGCTTAATCTAATACAATCTGTAATGTAAGTTTATACTTGGGCAATGTATTATTTAGCTCTGATCACTTTCTTTTGATGCTCTTTAACGAAAGCAATTGTAAACAGTCTGGTATGTTGGAGGACTATGAACATTTTTCTTTGAATCAGGTCACATGATCTCACCACAGTCTGCACCTGCTAATTTGGAAGGCAAAACTGATGTCAGCCGAGAGAACAGTACAGTGGACTTTAGCAAGGTGAGTTGCTTCTTCTGTAGAATTTTAACAGATTCAAGCAAACCAAAACAAAAGCAAAAAAAGTGTTTTCAATTGAAACAAACAACATTGTTTTGTTGTGACTTATAAAGATTGAGACACACTTTATGAAATATTGAGGTGAATTTTCTGGGTGTTTCCTTCATTAAACAAATGCAATTTTGGGCAGAATAGCCAAACAAGTCCAAAATGACACATAATTGTTACATGGCAGTTTTCCCAAAACGACTTGGATTTATGGTTTCCTCGGCATTTTAAGCTGTTGTAAGGTTCAATTTAATTGAATCAGGGCCCTGTTCACAAAAAGGGTCATGCAAACAAATCAAAATTGTGAGTTTCCAATTGTTGCTTTGCATTGAGAAGGCTTGTCAAATTGAATGCATTTTCTTAGGCATTCAGGCATTAACAAGCAAAAGTTAAAAAGTATTTTCTTTGATAAAATTTGAATACAGAATTGCCTAGTGAGATTTTTACTGTCGGTGTGAATGAGAGTTGGGGCTGTAGGGTGGATGAGCAAACTGACCATAGCACAGGGAGTAGGTACAGGGAGCCATTCAAGAGGGAGAGAAAAGAGAAGTGTAGTTGTAATTGTGAATAGTATAGTCAGGAAAATAGACACTGTTCTCGGTGGCCGGGATTGAGATTCCTGAAGATTGTGTTCCCTCCTTGGTGTCCGTGTTCTGGATTTTTCACCTGGGCTGCAGAGGAACTTGTTGTGGGAGGGGAAAGATCCAATTGTCATGGTCCATGTAGGTACCAAGATATAGGTAGAAAGAGGAAAGAGGTTCTACTGAGGGAATATGAGCAGTTAGGGGCTAAATTTTAAAGCAGAGCCAAAAAGTTAATAATCTCTGGATTACAACCTGAACTACAAATAAATTGGCACAGAGTCAACAAGATTAAAGAGATAAATGTGTGGCTGAAAGATTGGTTTGGGAGAAATGGGTTTGAATTCATCGGACACTGGGAAAGGAAGGAGCCGTTCTGATAGGACAAGCTCCACCTGAACCATGGTGGGGCCAGAGTTCTGGTGAATCACATAATTAGGGAGGAATAGGGCTATAAAATAAGTAGTGGGGGAGCAGTAGGTTCAGTTGCATGGAAAATTATGGGAAGAATTAAAGGGTAGGAGGGCTCAGCGGAGGTTACTAAAATTTCCAGAATGCTCACCACCACAAATAGCCTTGAGACAGAGTACCCCAAAGCCTTGTTTGTAGCAGCTGGTGACTTCAACCAGGTCAACCTCAAGAGTGTGCTACCAAGATACCATCAACATGTCTCCTGTCCCACCAGAGGCCTAAGTATCCTTGACCATTGCTACACAACAGTCAAAGGTGCCTACTGCACCATTCCCTGCCTGCATTTTAGCAAATCAGACTATAAAGCTGTGCTCCTTCTCCCAGCTTACAAGCAGAAACTGAAGCATGAGAATCCAGTACAGCGAGTTGTACAATGCTGGTCTGAGGTAACAGACAAGCACCTATGTGATTGCTTGAAATCGGTGGACTGATTCATCTTTGAGAGCTGAGTGGCCAACCTAAATAAGTATGCCAGAACTGTCACAGACTTCATCGGTAAGCGTGTAGAGGACTGCATGCCAAAGAAGTTAATCCAAGCGTTCCCCAACCAGAAACCATGGATGAACCGGGAGATCCACTTCGTACTGAAGTACAGCTCTGAGCATTTCAAGTCAGGTGATCCTGACCTATACAGGAGATTTAGGTACGATTTTCAAAAAGCCATCAGAGATGCCAAGAGACAACACCAGACTAAACTGAAGTCCCAGACTAACCACATGAACACACGTTGATTGTGGCAAGGCTTACACGACATAACAGGCTACAAAACAAAATCAAGTAGAATCGCTGGCAGCAATGCTTCCCTCCCCAATGTGTTCAATGCAAGCTATGCTTATTTTGAACAGAAGGTCAGTGAAATGATGTCACCTGCCCTGACATCCTCAGGTATACCTTTGCCCACAGTCACCCCAGCAGATGTCAGCTCAGCCTTCTTGAGAATGAACTCACGAAAAGCCACTGGCCCCAGATGGAGTCCCCGGCTGCGGATTCAGATCCTGCATGGACAAGTTGGTGGGAGTATTGGCAGATGTCTTTAACCTCTCCTTGCTCCATTGTGAAGTTCCCACCTGCTTCAAGGAGACCACTATCATCCCAGTGCCAAAGAAAAATCAGGCAATGTGCCTTAATGACTACTGCCTGGTGGCTCTGACATCCATCATTATGAAGTGCTTCAAGTGGTTAGTAATGGTACAGATCAACTCCAGCCTCCCAGATTCCTTGATGCCTGACATTTCGTCTACTATTGCAAGAGGTCCATGGGAGATACCATCTCCCTGGCCATACACTCACCCCTGGAACATCTGGATAACAAAGACACCCATGTCAGAATCTTATTTATTGACTTTAGCTCCATCTTCAGCAACATAATTTCAACCAAACTCTGAGACCTTCCTCTCTGCTACCCCCTCTGTAACTGAATCCTCGACTTTCTGACTCACAGACCGCATTCAGTCAGGATAGGTGACATCACCTCCTCTATGATATTCCTCAAAACTGGTGCCCCACAAGACTGCATACTCAGCCCCTTATTATACTCCTTCTACACTCACAACTGTGGCCAAATTCGGCTCTAACTCCATTTACAAATTTGCTGATGACACCACTGGAGTGGATCAGATTTCAAACAATGACGAGATAGAATACAGAAAAGAGATAGATAGCTTAGTGGCATGGTGTAAAGACAACAATCTGTCCTTCAATGTCAGCAAAATAAAAGAGCTGGTCATTGACTTCAGGAAGCAAAATAGAGGGCATGCCCCTGTCTATTTCAATGGTGCTGTGGTGGAGATTATCGAGAGCTTCAAGTTCTTATGAGTGATTTTCACCAACAATCTGTCCTGATCCATCCTGTCTATGTTACAGTCAGGAAAGCACACCAACGACTCTACTTCCTTAGAAGGCTAATCAAATTTGGCATGTCCACAATGACGCGCACCAATTTTTATCAAAACACCATAGAACGTATCTTATCTGGATGCGTCACAGCTTGGTATGGCAACTCCTCTGCCTAAGACCGCAAGAAATTACAGAGAGTTGTGAACGCAGCCCAGTCCGTAGCACAAACCAGCCTTTTACCCATTGACTCCATCTATACTTTCCATTGTCTTGGGAAAGTAACCAACACAATCAAAGACTCCTCCCACCCTGGTTATATACTCTTTCATCCTCTTCCATCAGGCAGAAGATACAGAAATTTGAAATATGTACCAACAGATTCAAGAACAGTTTCTTCTCTACTGTTATCACACTTATGAACGGACCTCTCATATTCTAGAGTTGATCTTTCTCTGCACCTTCTCTGTAGCTGTATATTCTGCATTCTGTTCTATTACCTTGATACACTTATGTAAGTTATGATTTGCCTGGATGGCACGTAAAACAATACTTTTCACTGTATCTCGGTATATGTGATAATAATAAACCAATTCAAATCAACTAATAGGACAGTGAAAGGCTCAGGAATATAACTTCAGGCACAGCAGATGAGGGGACAACTATGAGACGTGGGCAATTGATGCAGGACTGAGTGTGTTGTACTTAAAAATAGTAAGGTAAACAAGATAAATGAGATTGTAGGAAAAAAAATAAAACTGTGAATGCTGAAAATCAGAAACAAAAACAGAAATTGCTGGAAAAACTCAGCAGATCTGGCAGCATCCATGGAGAAAAAGCTGAGTTGAAGTTTTGAGTCCAGTGACTGTTCAACATACTAGAACTTCCAGAGAGTCAGAGACAGAAGTGAGTGTAGCGGCCATCACTAAGGAAAGGTGCTGGGGAAGCTGAAAGGTCTGAAGGTGGATAAATCACCTAGAGCAGATGGACCAACTCCAGATTTCTGAAAGAGATAGCTGAGGAGATTGTGGAGGCAGTGGTGGTGATCTTTCAGGAATCACTAAAGTCTGGGAGTGTCCTAGATGACTGGAAAATGGCTAATGTAATGCCCCCATTTAAGAAGAGAGCAAGGCCGAAGACAGGAAGCTATAGGCCAGTTGGCTTGAATTCAGTCATTGGATAGATTTTACGGGCCATTATTAAGGATGAGTTTGCAAGTACTTGGAAGTGCATGGTAAAATAGAGCGGAGTCAACATGGCTTTGTCAAGGGGTGGTCATGCCTGACAAATGTATTAGAATTATTTGAGGATGTAATGAGCAAATTAGGCCAAGGAGAGTCAGTGGATGTGATCTATTCAGATTTCCAGAACGTCTTTAACAAAGTGCCGCACAGGAGGTTGCTAAATAAGATAAGAGCCCATACTGTTAGAGGTAAGGCATTAACAGCAATAGTGGATTGGCTGAGTGGCAGAGGCAGAGAGTAGAGATAAAGGTGGCTTTTTGAGGACGACAGCTGGTGACTAGTGGAGTTCCATAAGGGTCTGTGTTGGGACCAAAACTATTTACATTATACATTAACGATCTGAACAAAGGAACTGAGAGCATTGTTGCTAAGTTTGCAGGTGACACAAAGATAGGTGCAGGGACAAGTAGTTTTGAGGAAGTGGGCAGGCTTCAGAAGGATTTGGATAGGCTATGAGATTGGACAAAGACATGACAGATGGAATACAATATGGGAAAGTGTGAAGTTGTGCACTTTCAAAGTGGGGAAAGGCCTGAGAAATCTGAAGCACAAAGGTACTTGGGAGTTCTAGTTCAGGATTCTCTTCAGGTTAACATGCAAGTTCAGTTTGCAGTTAGGAAGGCCAGTGCAATGTTAGCATTCATTTCAAGAAGGCTACAATGCAAGAGGAGAAATGTGCTACTAAGGCTGTATAAGGCTCTGATCAGACTGCGTTTGGAATATTGTGAGCAGTTTTTTGCCCCTTATGTAAGGAAAAATATGCTGGGGTTGGAAGGGGTCCTGAGGAGGTTTACAAGAATGTTCCCAGGGATGAAGATCTTGTCAT